CTACCGCTATTCATTTTGAGGCCCGAGTGTCCGGTAGTAATTGTTTCAGCTTCTTCAGAGGTAGACTATCTGGGATATTAAACACTATAAGATTACTTGCACGGATTATCCGTTCAGACGCTTCAGTGTAAATCACGGAAATAAGCTACTAGCGATATGTAGGTGATCGGATAACGGATTAGGAAGTGGGTTAGTTAAGTGGAAAAGTGAATCCATAATAGGAACCAGAGACTCAACAACATCCGAGTTTTCTCTCAAATCTCTCACAGTTCTTTCAAGCTCATTTATTCTGTCCTGAATTCCAGAGTATTCAATGTTGTCCTGTGTACTATAGGGAGTGGGACTATTAGCGCTTATTGTGACTGAGGTGGTATTGGTCAACGCAGCAGCTTGGCTGGTGGCACTTTTCTTTCTCATAGAACGCGTGTTCACGGCTTTCATGAGATAATAGTGGTTTGCTCACGCAAGATATGCAAGCTTTTGTGGAACAAAAATGTCAGAAGAACGAGGGTAAAATAGGATAGTACTATAGGCACGACGGTCACTTGTAATGCGTAATTTAACTTGGCTCTAACCGATTATCTTGCATTCAAAAACTGGGTGAGATGGAACCAAATATGAAGCAGTTAGCGGATTAGACTGTCTGTTTGTCCAGCTAAGGATTAAAGGGGACAGGTGGCAAAACCTACTGACACCAGTTTCATATCAAGGTCGTTTACTGGAGTTAGGACATGCGATCAAACCGACCTGCTCTGACCTGGCAACGCCGCAGTGCACGATGGTTCCAATGCACACGTTAGTGGAAACGCACACAGTCAGATGGTTGTCGCTGCTACCTGATTGGCCCGAGTGCGGCGGGCGATGCAGTAGACTGGAAGGCTATCGATCGCGCGCTGGTAGTGATAGCATACAATGCTACACTGGTGGAATACTAACGGACCGCTGGCGGACTGCTGGGCCGACAATGGCTGCAGTGGTAGAGCGGGAGCAATCGCTTGTAGTTGTCTCATACAGTTAGGGAATAGATCATTTGTGCAGTTGTTAAACAGCACTTAAACTGGGCTTCCAGAAAAGGTCGGAATTTGCGGTCTAGAATGCAAGGTCAGCGAATTTGTGGGCTTTTGTTGGGGTGGGGAAACCCGAACTTAGAAAGCCGAAGGTTGCTGGTATTCCGTGAGGTGTAGATACGACAGATCAGCATCGCTGGAAGGAGCTCGTCTATCCTGATCGAATGAGGGTATGCAGGCTGGATGGTGAGAAATTTGGAGACCCAGCAGAGAAATTCGGTAGAGCGAGAAATAGTCCTAATGGCACGCACCTTTCGGTGACCTTGAGATCTTTTGAGTTTTACACAAACAACTGAGAGCAAGGGATATCAGAAGCGTATTTGAACACACTAGCGTTTCCCGAGACGCTATACCGACCCTTGTGGGGCCGACTAAAAACAGTTTTCGGATGTACTTTTGGCCTACCTCTAGGGGGCCTTTTCGGGCTGTCTCATAGTACACCCCCTACCTAATCCTTTAGAGGCGATTTGGGGCGCTTTGTCGAATTTTCTTGTCCGGCCATTGCGTTCCGGTTCAGAAATGCAGACAGCTGGGCTCGCGACGAGACTCACTTGTTTTTGTTCCATTTACTATTGGTGGCCTGACTTCTACCGCTTTTCAACATATCTCGGATAGCAGTTTGATGAGTAAGTGGTGCCCACTACACAGCACCATTTTATCGATGTGAATGGAGTACAGCAGGATTTCCAACACTCTTGGACCACATTCTTTTTAGTGGTTTGATAATAGTACCCATGCCGTTGAGTTGTCACATATCATGGGGAGAGAGGGCTTGAAGCATGTAGCGCCACTCCTCCAAGACATGAGCTTGTGTTTGCGACTCGTCGGAAGGTCGGATTTCGGGGACACTATAGACAAATATTGATCTTTCGTCGGTTAGCCTGTGGTATTCTCCGGGGTTTACTTCCTATACCAAAGCTAACTCTAAGGGATGTCATGGAATATATGAACGCCGACCGATGAATCTGGAAGACTATGAGCTGACAACTGGGCGGTCTCCGTTTCGTCAACCAAATGAAGTGTCGCCTGATGTAGCCTTGGTTCAGCATAGTGAACTGCGTTTGGGTGACGGACAATGAGACCCAAATTTACTTGTTTGGCCTGCATTTCCATTGCCTGGTTTATGAACTCCCTTTATTTCAGATAGTCCAATATTTTGTCTATGATAGAATGGGTCTTTGATTCAAACCCCTTAGAGCATATTATCTTCATAGTGTACTGCGTCCTCCCGCTGTTCATACTTTTGTATCAGAGCGTGTATCCTTTCTCTGATCTCTTTGTAAGCGGCCTTCTGGGAATCGCAATGGTATTAGTGACATTGCTGTTGCCATTTGGTTAATTGCAAATTTGGCCGGTAACTTCACTTTGGATCTGCATGCAGTGACAATGGATGCGTATGCTGTCAGGCTTTTGCTATTGTTAGATAAATCCTATTACAATTGGGTATTACCTGCCACATAACCACTCCAGGAAAAATCGCTCCCTGCATGATTGAGGTTGCCAGCGTCGGCAGCCCTGGTTGCCCACCTGTTTGCTAATTCTCTTGGTTGGTCTTACTGGCTCCATGCTACTAACTGTACACATGTGTTATCTAGTCTGTTCTAAATCTAAGCATAATTTAAACAACTGGAAACAATTTCCGCCGCTGCTGGTTCCGATGCAACTGCTATACCAGTCGTAGCCAGCTGTACAATCGTTATCCGTTTGTCACATTTCTTTGCCTGCACGACGAGGGGTCATACTAGGAGGCTGATCATACGCGCTGTGCATAACTAAATGGAGTTTGGTGTGCAGTGTCGCTCTTTCACTTCTGCCTTACTTAGCTTTACTCACTTTGGCTGGAACTGCTTAGTGCCCTTTCATCTTATTCTAATTCGGATAGCTTTTGAACACGATTTGGAACCGCAAAAAACTTTCGTTGGGAGCCATCTGGACCGCATACACCTTGTTTTACTTGTTGCTATGTTGTGAGCCATGCCGAGGCGTCAGTCAAGTGGGCAGATTTCGATCGCCCTTGTGCTGCTAATGTTCGGCGCATGGTGTGTGTTGGGACAGTCACACGATGTCAATTAACAATCTCTCACGGGTGGAACCAAACTTGCGAGCATAGCCGACGAAGGTCCACGCGTTGCCTTTTGGTTGTATGTAGTAGGCGCTTGACTATCAATTGGGCCCAGCTTCCGCTTGGTTTCGAGTTGCACGTTGACTAGCGTGTTTGAATTCAAATTAGTTTGACGAGGGCTAGGATCATGGCTGCTAAACGAGTTGAAGAAAGCAAACGGCTTGTCGAATTCGTTTTTTGTGTGGATCATTGGATATCGCTAAAAACGAACATTTGTAGAGCGAAGGTAAAAGGAATGTTATGCTCTCGAAAAAAAAGCTTGATTTGCGCATGCGTTTCTGCAAAAATCCTGCTGTAATTGCATTAACGGATGCAACGATGGTATGTGGTAGACAGTCCTGTGCTGGTATGTTCAGTGGATAACGTAAACCCGCGTTTAGTAAATATAATCACAGCAATGTGCGTCGAGTATCATGGGTTCCAAGTCCAAAAGGAGTGGATCGTCAAATCAGCGTGACTACACGGTGTGACACGCTCAACTGATAACCCATGACGCTGCGTTCAAGATGGATGGAACAATAAGTGGAAACGTTGACGTGAGCGGACGTGAATGCCAGTACCTTTACTCACTCGGCATGCATTTCCCGCCTCTATTAAATCACCGGTAGGTCTTCCTTTGAAGCTTCCGCACAGCTTATGGTTTCAATCTTCTCATGAATTTGTGATAACGCATGCCTGATTCTAAGCTTAGCTGCTTGTGGCACAGTTGACGCAGTGTAGCAGGTAAGTAATCGGATGCTTGATAATTGTAAAATTATATTTACATACGGGGGGGTGAAAGTAAAGGTGAATGTCAATTCAACAATTATAATTTATATAAACCTTATATTGTCATTTCTTTCGTTTTTTTCCGCGATTAAACAATAACCGCAATGAATGACGCGGGCGGATAATCTACCATAGAACCTAGAAACCCCCAGAATCTAGAAAAGCTGTATCGAGTTGAGCGCTAGTGCCCAAACCCAGTATTCAATAAATAATATATATTTTATTATCGCTTAAAAAAAAATAAAAAAAAAACAATAAAAAAAAAACCGAAAACGCAAAACCCCCAACAACGTAACCACGCTGGGTCCCGTTCATCACTCTATTTGAATAAACAACCCCGTTTGATGGGGGAAGGGTACAGATCTGCGCGGTGCGGTTTACTTTTCGGGAATTGCGAATCTCCTATGAGCTACACATTTCGGGGGGAGGTGGGGGGTGGGTGGGGGGAGTCGTATCTTTAAACTCTAAAGCCTACCACTCGCCATCACCCCCTGTAAAACAACCACAAAGTTAGAAAATCATACCGCGAGCGGGTGTCTCGAAAACACACACACACACTATATCTCAGTGTAGGTGGTGCATATACAAGAAGTATGTACGGGGAATATAACAAAAATAAGTATGGGGAGTATATGTGGGAATCTTATCTATATAGGGGGGGGGGGGAGTGAGATGTTAGTTGGGTTGTATTACTATTAAACTTAAAAGTAAAAGAATCAGACAAAAGAGGCGAGTATGATACTCTAAGTCGACATACAAATGAGTCTTGGAGGGGTGGGGGGAGAGTATCTGTGTGTATGGGTGATATTGTTTATGAGAGGTTGCTGGGGGGGGTGAGGGGGGGGATTATGTGTGCTTGTTGTTGTGTTGGAATGAGGTGTTAGTAGATTGGTGGTGGGGGTAGGAGGTGATTGGAGCGTGAGTGGGTCTAGGTATTAGGTGTAAGTGAGGGTGTATGGATGGATCTGGGGGGGGGGGGGGTTTGTGATGTGAGTGGTAGAGAGTTTTGAGAGTGGGTGGTTTAATAATAGTATATGGTAATTATGTTGGAGATTATAAATGTTGTGGGGGGGGGATTGTTGTTTATTGTTATATGGGTGGGGGGTGGGGTGGGGGGATTGGGGGGATTTTGTGGGGGGGTGGGTGGGGGGGGAGAATTGTGTGGTTGTGGGGGGGTTGTTGTGGTGTTGTGGGGGGGGGGGGTGGGTGGTGGGGGGGTTGGGGGGGTGGGGTGTTTGGGGGGGTGTGTGTGTGGGGGGGGTGTTTGGGTGGTTGTGTTGGGTGTCTTTGGGTGTGGGGGGGGGGTGTGTGGTGGGGGGGTATTTGTGTGGGGGGGTGGTGGGGTTGAGGGTGGTATTGGGGGGGGGGGGGGAGTCTGTGTGGAGTGTGAGTATCTGGGGTATGGTTTGTATATATGTTGTGACAGGGGGGGGGGGATAGAGGTATATTGTCTGGGTTGTGAGGGGTTTGGGTGGGTATCTTTAGATATATTTCTGTTGATAAGGTTAATAAGAGGAGGGGGAGAGGAGGGGATAATTGAGATTATAAGTGAGGGGAGCGAGTGGAGTGGAGGGGTTAGGGGGATGGAAATAATATAAAAGAGGAGGGGGGGGGAGATGTGTGTTGGTGGTGATGGTATGGGGGGGGGGGGGTTTGGTGGAGAGGGGTACACACACACGTGTACGTGAGTTAAGGGGAGATTGGGTGATTGTAGAGATTGGTTGTTTTTAGTAAGGTGGTAATAGTGGACTCTCTGGTATTTATGGGGGGGGGGGGGGGGGGGGGGGGGGGGGGAAAGTTTATATTTATTTGTTATGTGTATTATATTTTAAGAGAGGGAGTCTGTGGGTGGGAGGGGAGAATATTTGGTTAAGTTGACTTTAGGTGTTATGAGAGGTGATAGTCTGAATTGGTTGATGATTCTGGTGAATAAGTATTGTTGTGGGACATGGGGGAACACAATGGGGAATGTGCGGTGGCTGCGAAAAGAGTGGGAGGCGGTGTTGAAGTGAGGTCAAAATAAAAATACTTTAAGAAAATAAAATCAATTGGAAAGTCAATAAAAAGCGTATAGAATGAATTGTGATGTATAGCACTAAATTAGGTAGTTATAAAAATATAATCTCTATCTCTTACGTACCGCGCGAACAAACAAACAGCACACAGCTGCAAACCACCACCATAAATAAATACGGGCTAAGTAATCGCGCAAATACGACAGACAAACAATTTAGGTCGCGCCACAACCCATGTCTCAGTGTTCGCAAAATCCATCCCGTTGCCGTTGTCCGGTATGTGTAATTGTCCTAAAAGAAAAAATTGAAAAAGTGTCGAAACATTGTATCCCTGGTAGACACGCTAAGCAAAGCACTCAGCACGCCAATGAGTGAAACAGTATAACAATCAAACCTAGCTAAATAGTTAGCTTGAACCACTACAACCGACACGCAACTAAACGGACAAGCCCCCTCCACACACTCCCCTCTTCCGTAATTACCAGAAGCCGAGGAGTAGCACCACACACTCGTGCATACCCAACCTCCAACTCAGCACCAAAATCCACAAAACAGAACACCAAGGTCAAAATCTGATCTCCAACCCAAAGAGACCCAAAGCCCTTTAACTGACATATAAGAAGAAAATAACAAGACTCCACTTATGAAAACCTCGTTTCTTATATAAAAATAAACCACCAGCTTTGCTTCTAAATACGAATCTTTCCACAAAGGTGTAATAACTAAGGAATTCAGTTTAGACATAAATAATCGAAACAGAAACACAACACGAGACACTTTCATCCTCCAGCAAACCTACGAGTAAAAATAACTGGACATCCAACGCAGTCATTGCTTCTTGCAGTTGCTTCTAGAAAAAAACGCCGTTTCAAAGACTAATCTCAAAAAATATAACCTGTTCCCACGTTTAACCCGGAGAGGTTGACCAAAACAGTAGACTCAAACATGGCACGTACTTCGCCCCGCTATCGGCCTCTGCCAGAGTCGTCGGGTTCCTACCGAAACAGACACATACAAACCCACACAAAAATAAAAAGTAACCTAGTGCTAGCGAGCAATAACGTTTTACTAACACGAGAACCACAAGGCGGAACATGGTGCTTTTACAGCTCATTGAGGTGTGCACTATACCATTCCCTGAATCCACATCACCACAATAAAGGACAAAATGATAGATAACGAATCATAATCACTAGGGATCCATCAGGAGTGGCCATCAGCATGCGCGCTGAATCTGTACTGAAAAGGAAGAATAAAACCCGACTTAAACCCCCCTAACTCCTACTAACGCTGAAGCGCATTCAACACTATACCTATACAACCCATCTAACACTATGGTGAAAATCTCTCGACCTACTTCGAGTAACACTTACATTCCGCGAAGAAACGAATCAATTCATTAATATCAATTCTTCTGTTCGCTGCAAATCGACACCACGAGAAAGAGCAACGAACGGAGTATAGCTATCTTTACCACCCCAGAAATTCCGTGGAAAATGAACGAACGAATAAGAACATGAACAATCAAAGGGAACTTAAAAACTACCTCGCTGAGACAAGCCGTCATTATTAATGCGTCCACCCGAGTCCTCAAAGTATTCCATCCCACTTGAAGAACATCATAAATCTGCAAACAACACAAGATAACTCACACCTACATGAACCCAAAAAGCCAACAACGACTAGACATTGGCGGAAACCATCGAGAAGTAGCATCCTGACTCAAGAAATCCTCGTGTCACACAATTACAAGGGTTTTGGTCCTAGTTTGCTGATGTTGCTCTACAGTCTCAGCTAACTATAACAGACAGTTTCTAGAGAACTGGGTAAATTCCGGAACAACTGCTACCAAGAAAATTCGACCAGAAGTACAAGTTTACGCCCGTACCAGAGGCTGCTGCACTACTCTATGCGAGATACAAACTAGTGCGAACATCCGAGCAGTTGCAGAGTCCACCACAGAGCCTGATGTGACTGCCGTCCTAAAGCATCCGGCGAGAACACCGCAGGAAGTGATGCTCCACAGATACAATCATGAACTCTGATCACACGGTGCAAAGTTATTCCAATCATATCTCGCGAGCCTAGGATTAAATCATAAACTATAAACAGCCTACTTCAATGTCCCCGGCCAAGTTCAAAACTTGTGGTCGAATCCACAAAATAACCTTTAACCTATGAATCACATTCTCCGCTAGTGTTTTATACCAACCGCACAAGTCTTGTTAAAGCAAAGATGCGAGCTTCGCCTCGTCAGGCTCAACAGCGATCAACCTAATAACCCACAGTCTGTGTTATCATCTCTCAACAGACAACAAAAAAAAAAAAAACAACGGAGAGCGAGTAAAAAGAGAAGAAGACCACACAGACTGTGAATAATTCGCGGCCATTGAACAACGCGCCAGCATGTCAGAACTCCGGTCATTAGTTTGCTTAAAAGACATCGTGCTGTTTGTATAAAAAAACCAGGTTTAGTGATTCATATGGTAGGTTAATAAGGTTATTTGTGATGTTAATCCACAAAGTTTTGAACACTTGGCACGACCCTCTTGAAAAAAGTAGTCACATACAATTCATCCAGGCCTGTAACACAGTCAAGTCTTATTTGATTATAAATTTCCTGAGGCTCCGCGTTAAATGACTTAACACATGGGACATACAACTCCTCTGGGCAACCGTCGTGATTACTCAGAGTATCATGATTATCCTGTAATAGGGCACTCTAAGAACAATTCACTCCTCTGCGGTGATCTTCGGGCCCGATCCATATGGAACGCCATCCACAAAAACGTAAACAAAGATATTCAAGTCCCGTTATAACCAACACCGCCTGTGGGTAGGCAACGCCGCTGCATACAGTCAACGGCTGAGATTCATGCATACTTAAGTCATAGTTTAATGAAGTATCACAGCAATCAAATAAGAGCCACAGAAACTCAGGACAATACCTTAGTGATACACAAACGCAAAGCACTATACCAGCAAGCAGCCCCTCAGGTCGTAATAAAAATATAAAACACAAACAATCTCTAATAAAATAAAACAGAACCCGAATCACTTCTATCGTTTGGTCACGACACACCGAATGTTTCTCCTTGTGTCATTCTCAACTGATGCGTTTCTCGATGTACCGTCAACAAATTTAACCAACCAGTTCTCTTACATCGTCAATCTCACAGACTACCTCCACCACAACGACTGCCTGTTAAAAAGTTAATGCTATAACTAGACAACCTAACACCACCACACCCACACCACTCAATCTCCCCCCAGTTATCTTTCCGGAGTAATAACTATAGCCATTATATCGGGCCCACTCCCAACTTTCAAGCACTACGTTGGTGATAACTTGAACGACGCGTCCACAACGAACCAACGAACAGCACTCTAAATCTCCGAATGCTCAATCGCCAAAAAAAAATTACAGCCTCGTACGAGTCGTTGTGCAATATGATCATACAATTCTTCAAGGAGACATCCAGAAAAAAATAAAACCACATCACATACACAAATCATTGCAACTCGTGGGACGCGGGCTCTTCCCCCCATCGCTGTAAGGAATACACAGATGGCGCGTTCCACTATATGATCAGATATTGTCCTACTCCTCCACACTTTTACTATATTTGGGAATTTAATATCTACGTTAGCTAATTCGTTTCTCAGTTCCATTCTAGAGAATCAACGTTCCCTCTCTACAGTATCTTAACATTCATTCCTTTTTATTTCAAAAGTCTCTTATAACATCACTCATTTCTCACTGGCAAGTTTTCCACCAGTGATGCGTAACAGGGGTTCGACATCCAGATTATACACGTACGGAGGGCGGACCAATCTCGACGACAGACCATACGTCCCCCATGAAAGAATCGTAATAATAATGCTAACCCCCTCTCCATCCTGGTTCGTTCGATATGCTAGCGAACAAAAGAAATTCAACCAAAAATAAATTTGCCGTCTAATCTCATTCCGCGCAAATTGGATTTCTAGAGTTACTCGCAAGACAGAAACTACCGCTACCGAAAAGCCCCAAAAGTTCAGAAAAAGTTTCACCATCATAGGTGGTACCCCACACGCTTTGTCCAAAAAAAGACGTCACAACTTACCAAGCTGTCTGCGCAGTCAGTCACAAGGATCTATAGTAGTTTGCACTGCTAGCGCCTTGCCTGGAATGGCAACCCTAATACAGATCCCCTAAACCGTGAACTCATGATCGTACCTCAATCAATAATTGTGTGGTCCTATTAAAATAGTTAGGATTGGATTAGGAAGGTTAGTGCTTCAAAAAAAACGATAAACCAACACCTGATAAATACTGACCAAAGCTTCAAACAGATAAGAAAAACACCAATAACCTGGCCTTTCCATGTGGTTTTCTACGAGTAACAGACACTAGCGCTTTCATTTTTAAAATTTTTTATTATTTTTCTTAAAAAAAATACTATTATAAAAAAAAAAATTACTTTATATTATAAAAAAATAAATTTTTTATGTGGAGGGAAGATTTCTCAATAATGAGCGCGTCAATAACGAAAAAATAACCAGCCCCAATACGCCAGACCATATCGCAACAGTAGCGCGCGAAAATTCTTGGCACATAACAGCAAAATAAAGGGCATCTATAATATTGATGGACCACTAATCCCATCATGACCCAGAACCTCCGCAAATATTATTATTAACACCAATCAAAAACCATAAGCATGTGTCAGACACAGCAGTCACCATAAGGAATTTCTTTGGGCGACCAGGGGGTGGGGGGCAAACTTCCACTTAAACTACCCTCCCGGCACACACCACACAACCATTCCGTTCACATTTTGTCCCCCCTATTTTATATTAAGTCCATGCCCTCCCC